CGGTTTTTCCCCGTTTTTTCTCCGTTTTTCTCTCCCGGTTCCCGCTGCTCCCTTACTGGGCCGCGCGCGGGCGGGACCGATGTCCAGGTTGAGGTCGATGCGGCGCCGCGCCTCGCGGTTCTCCTGCTTCAGCTTCGCCTCCAGCCGCGACAGCTTCTGCTCCAGCGAGGACGCCGCCATCTTCCCCCGGACCCCCGCACTGCGCCTGCGCGGGAACGGTGATGGGCGGGGCTTGGGGGGGACTTCCGGTGAGTGCTGTACGGAGAAATGGGGAAAGGGCGCCGCCATCTTGGAACTGAGGGGGAGGTTGCGCATGCGCAGAGCTCGAATTTAGAGCAGCTGTACGGAAAAAAGGGCAAAGGGCGCCGCCATTTTTATTCGGAGTGGATAATGCGCATGCGCAAGGCCTGAATTTAGAGCCAGCGCTGTACAGAGGGAAGGGAGCAAAGGACGCCGCCATTTTGGAACTGAGGGGGTGTTGCGCATGTGCAAAGACCGAACTTAGAGCCGCCGCTGTACGGAAAAAAGGGTAAAGGGCGCCGCCATCTTCCCCCCGCACCGCACCTGTGCGGGAACGGCCCGGGGCGGGGCTTCAGGGGACTTCCGGTGGGGTCTGTACGGAAAAATGGGGAAAGGGCGCCGCCATCTTTTAATTGAGGGAGTACTGCGCATGCGCAGAGACCGAATTTAGAGCAGCTGTACGGAAAAAGGGTAAAGGACGCCGCCATTTTTGAACTGAGGGAGTGTTGCGCATGCGCAGAACCCGAACTTAGGGAATTCGCCATACGGAGGGAAAGGACCAAATGGCGCCGCCATTTTTGAACTGAGGTGATGTTGCGCATGCGCAGAGCCCGAATTTAGAGCCACCGCTGTACGGAGAAAAGGGTAAAGGGCGCCGCCATCTTTGAACTGAGGCGGGGCTGCGCATGCGAAGAACCCGAACTTAGGGCCATCGCTGTACGGAAAAAAGGGTAAAGGGAGCCGCCATCTTGCCCCCTTCCCCCCGCAACGCGCCTGGGCGGGAACGGCCCGGGGCGGGGCTTCGGGGGGACTTCCGGTGGGGTCTGTACGGAAAAAAGGGTAAAGGGCACCGCCATGTTTGAACTGAGGGGGGGTTGCGCATGCGCAGAGCTCGAATTTAGGGCTACCGCTGTACGGAAAAAAGGGTAAAGGGCGCCGCCATCTTTGAACTCAGGCGGGGCTGCGCATGCGCAGAACCCGAACATAGGGCCATCGCTGTACGGAGAAAAGGGTAAAGGGCGCCGCCATCTTTGAACTGAGATAGTGTTGCGCATGCTCAGAGCCCGAATTTACAGCCGCCGCTGTACGGAGAAATGGGTAAAGGGCGCCGCAGTCTTTGAACTGAGGGGGTGTTGCGCATGCGCAGAACTCGAACTTAGAGCAACCGCCGTACGGAGAAAAGGGCAAAGGGCGCCGCCATCTTCACCGAGGAGTGGCCACTGCGCATGCGCAGGACAGAGCAAAGGCTTTTTGGGCCTCTCCGGCCGCCGTAGGATAGAGGGACGCGGGCGTTTCATGGCTCCATGGGGGAACGGGGGTTTTTGAGCCTCTCCGGCCACCGGAGTTGGGGAGGAGGAGAGAAAGCACTGCACAGGACGCCGCCATTTTCCTTTCAGAAAAGCATCTGCGCATGCGCCAAGCGCGGGGCGGGGTTTCTGAGCCTCCCGGGCCGCCGTAGGAGAACATGGTGGGGGAGGGGCGATTCCTCTGTAAATTTTCACAGAAATTCAGGACAATTTTGAGACGATTTTGAGGACATTTCAGGGTTCTGGGGGGAATTTGGAGCAGTTTGGAGTATTTTGGGACAGTTTTGGCTCCTTTAGTGAAATCCGAGGGTGTTTCAGGGACATTTTTGGCTGTTTTGGGGATTCTTTGGGTTATTTTGGGTCAGTTTGGGTCGTTTTGGGGCAGTTGTGACTCCTTTAATGAGGCCCGAGGCTGTTTTGAGGGCGTTTGAGGGCATTTTAGGGCGATTTTGGGCCATTTTGGGGCAGTTCTGACTCCTTTAGTGAGGTCCGACGCTGTTTTAGGGGTGTGTGAGGGCATTTTAGAGGGATTTTCGGGCAGTTTGGGTTGTCTTGGGACAGTTGTGACTCCTTTAGTGAGTTCCGAGGCTGTTTTTGAGGGTGTTTGAGGGCATTTTGGGGCGGTTTGGGCCATTTTGGGACAGTTGTGACTCCTTTAATAAAGTCCGAGGCTGTTTGGGGGGCTTTTGAGGGCATTTCAGGGTTCTGGGATTATTTTGGGGTGGTTTGGACCATTTTGGGGCAGTTCTGACTCCTTTAGTGAGGTCCGAGGCTGTTTTTGGGGCGATTTTGGGGCCGTTTTGGGACAGTTGTGGCTCCTTTAATAAAGTCCGAGACTGTTTTTGGGACAGTTTGGGCTGTTTTTGGGCTGTTTTGGGGGTGCTGGGGTTATTTTGGGTCAGTTTGGGCCGATTTGGGGCAGTTCTGACTCCTTTAGTGCGTTCTGAAGCTGTTTTGGGGGTGTTTGAAGGCATTTTATGTGGATTTTGGTGCAGTTTGGGTCATTTTGAGGCAGTTATGACTCCTTTAGCGACTCCCGAGACTGTTTTGGAGACAGTTTGGGCTGTTTTTCCTGTGCAAAGGGGATTTTGGGGCAGTTTGGGTCGTTTTGGGACAGTTCTGACTCTTTTAGTGAGGTCTGAGGCTGTTTTTGGTGTGTTTGAGGGCATTTTAGGGCGATTTTGGGGCATTTGGGGCCGTTTTGGGACAGTTTTGGCTCCTTTAATAAAGTCCGAGACTCTTTTTGGGACAGTTTGGGCTGTTTTAGGGGTGCTGGGGTTATTTTGGGGCAGTTTAGGTCGTTTTGGGGCAGCTGTAACTCCTTTAATGAGGTCCGAGGCTGTTTTGAGGGCGTTTGAGAGCATTTTATGGGGATTTTGAGGCAGTTTGGGTCTTTTGGGGCAGTTGTGACTCTTTTAATGAGGTCCGAGGCTGTTTTGGGGATGTTTGAGGGCATTTCAGGGGTTCTGGGCAATTTTGGGGGCACTTTGGGCCGTTTTGGAGCCGCTGTGGCTCCTTTAATGAGGCCCGAGGCAGTTTTAGGGACGTTTGAGGGCATTTTCGAGGTCGTGGGGTTATTTTGGGGCAGTTATGACTCTTTTAGTGACTCCCGAGGCTGTTTTGGGGACAATTTGGGCCGTTTTAGGGATGCTGGGGGTATTTTAGGGCGATTTTGGGCCGTTTTGGGCTGATTCGGAACTGCGCATGCGCAGAGCAGAAGGAGCGGCTCCCCCCCATTAATGATGGCGCCCCCTGGCGGGCGGGAGGTGCGGCGCATGCGCAGAACCGCCCCCTCCTTCTCCACGGGTCCCCCCAAAACTCAAACCCCCCAAAAATTTTAAATTTTCTTTTCGTTTTTTTCCGTTTTTATTTAAAAAAAAACCC